CCATCATGGACAACTTCTCCCAACCCCTCTATGACAGGCTTGCAGGAATGAAGAGCACGTTCAGCAATAGACTGATTCATCCACGGTGTGACAGGGAGCGCTACAGGAGGTCATTCTTGCCTTCTGCCATAAGACTGTACAACGCATCCACCTTGCGTCTTGGCAGAGGCAACATCGACAGTGACCTGTGTACTATTATTATATCATTTGTTACACTGTGGCTGTGTTGTGTGTGTTAAGCTGCTGTTGCACTGCAATTATCTATCTATCTATCTATCTATCCAGTACTGGTCTGCATGTATATCCTGGAGATGTCAATTCCTACCCAACGTGTCAAAGAGCCTTCACTGACTCGCTTCTTGTTTCCGGCTACAGAGCAGAACTGGGAAGCACGGCCTCTCCTGGCTTCCTTCCTAAAAAGCCAGGAGGGAGGAGAAGGGAGCCGCCAGCATACCTTGCGCATTGAGGTGCATGGTCTCCATGGGTCCGATGAAAGCATAGCGCATGCCAAGCCCTTCTGACATCACCAGGTCAATGTCCTGGACGGACATGACTCCATCCTGCGGAGAAAAGAGCAGAGCTAGACTCGGCAATACCCCCCCGCCACCTGCGGCTTGGCGTGTCCTTCTTTTAGCCACCTGTCTGTCTAACTTCGGCGGGGCACAGCACCAAGGCCACAGACGAGTGGAGGCTCTTTGAGCCCCTGGACGTGTTCGGCTCTCTTTCTTTGATCTCCTTCGAAGGTCAGCACTGGTTATAGTGAAAGCAAACCACCCCTAAATGACAAGCCCCGAAAGCGGTGCTTCTCAGTACGGGTGCTGGGGGGACCCCAGCCTCCGCTGGTTTGTGTTCTCACTGCGCCCCTCATCACCAGGGCTCTCTGGTGCCTATAGCTGGTCTGCCTGCTGGTTTGGACTTGTCTTTCAGTCCTTGGCTTTAGAAATACCCTGGAACACCTTCAGTACACAGGACTTCACACAGTCTCTCCTCAGTTTGCTTATTTCATCATTTTCTCACTTATTTTTGAGTACTCAGGTCTTGATTATGTTATCAGCCGATGATGAACAGACCCAGGTGGGAATGACACTGTATCAGACAACTCCCACGATGAGTCAGTGTTCTTCTTTCTGTCCTTTAAGTCCAACTGGTTACATTTTAGCCAGCACAACTGAATGAGGGCACTCCTGAAACTATGTGATCAGCCTTTTCTCCTTTTTCTCATATAGCCTTTTAAGAAATTAATGAAAATTTACAGAATTTCTAGAAGCGGCCTTAAATTTGAGATTGAAACAATCTCAGCCTAAGATTAAGAGCAAAAAAAAAAGAAGACACAATGGTTACTGTGAACCAGGACTGACCACTACTGTCTTAAAGCAGATGGATAACTTATATTAGCACAACATGTGACCTCCGTGACTACTGAACCTCGACTGTGTTTTTTAACATACAACAATTTCCACAGAACTTATCACTCTATTCATTCCAATTTCGACGAATTCACATCTCTGTTTTCTGCATCTTCGTGTCTAAAATGCAGACGCGCCTGTCCTTTCTGTAACGTAACCAATATGAAGTCTGTTCATTCTGAAAGGTTTTATGTCTCATACCAGTGAGATGTTAGAAGAGAGTTCTGGACAGACACGTCCCTCTAGTTGCCAAGAGTACCCAACGATGAAAATCAGACTGCTTGGCCATCCTACACCAAGTCAGAAAACCCAGGGTTCAAATCCCAAAACTCTGCTTTCTTTACCTTTTCAAGGTGAGAAACCCAAGGCTCTTCCTTTCAGGATCTTTTATATTCAATGCAAACTAGGTCCCAACATATTGGATTTCTATAATCATCCAATTCTGCGTCCCTACAATAATAGGAAGGTCCTATTCATTAGCAGGACAGAGTTATTTCCTCTCACATTACCACAAGTTCAAGTTACCTGCTGGCTGATGGGGCTGAAATCAAAGCACAAGTGCAGGAGGGGAAACAGTGTTGTCTTTGTTGCTTGCTTCAGGCAACAACGGTGCTGTTATCTCTCTGGTAAGAGATGCTGGCCCGGTTTACAGAAATGCTACAGGACCCCTGAAAAGAAGCTTTTCCTCAGCAGGGCACTCAGCAGGGAGGAACCTGCTGGGTTCTCAGCTGCTCCTCTTTCCAGCTCTGGCCTCGTTTCAAAGGCCGAAGCAGCACTGAAAGAAAACAGTAACTGAACTCGGCCTGAACTCTTGCCTCTCCTCTGAACAGTGGAGTGTCGGGTCAAAATGGAATACTGCAGATGCATCTGACAAATAGTGGGGAAAAAGTGCTTCACACTCGGCCCTCCAGGCCTGCAGAAAGCCCTTAACGTTTTACAATGCTTTGTAGCTTCCAGCGACTGTTCAGTGGTCTCCTCTTGCTCAGGGCACCAGCGGTCATCCAGCCCTGGCACCTCATCAGGCTGAAGAGGGGATAAGAAATACTTTCAGAGTAACCATTTCAAAGCTTCTCCGCTTACCACATACGGTAAAGCGGACACAGTTTAAATGTCCACACCGAAATGGAGTATAAATTACCCACCCAAAGGCAGGAAGTTAAAAACAAACAAACACAGAGGTGCAAGATGTATAATGCAAAATGTCCTTGCATTACTTCCCACACAACTGATTAACTTTGCACCCGAATTATCCAAGGACTTGTCACGGGTGGCAGCACTATCTTCTGACATGTACAGTCTCACCAGAAAAGTCAGGCTTAAATACAGTAGTTCATCTGTACTGTTACTTGCATTATTTCATAGTCCTTCAATCATTGGCATTAATCAAGAAGAAAGATCTCTGTAGATCACATGTAGTGTATTTGTTCCTAATATACTGTACATTCTACCCCCACTATGGTAAAACAGAATTCAGAACTGAATCTGAATCTTGCAGAAATTAATCAGCAGAATTCACCAGAGCCCAAAATTGTTCCTTGCTTCTGTACACCTTTTGGCACATCAGAAACACTGCCTTCAAAACCTTCTGAGCTCAGGGGCCATGATTCCAGCAGTGAAGGGAACTGGTGGTTCCGTAATCTTGTGGGGTGTGTTCTCAATATATGGCTCGGATGCCCTTAGGCTTAGAAGGCAAGGCCAACGATAATCAGTTCATACCGCAATGATACCAAGTGATGACACCATCAGTGACCTGTGATAATGCTCCCTTTCACAGAGCATTGCTGTCCTCCCAGTGGCTGGGTGAGCAGGACGCTGGTGTTTTCCCTGTCATGGCCTCCTCAGTCTCCGGATCTGATCCCAGTCAAGCACGTATGGGGCATTATGGAATGACGCCCCTGACGGCTTGCCCGTGGAATAATGGTGCTGCATTACTCCTGCAGACATCCAGACGCTGGTGGACTCTATACTACAGTGCAACTGGAAACGTTAGGAAGGCCAGACTGAGTGAACACTGAGCAGAATCTGGCTACACCACCAGGTTCATACCCCTACACCTCTCAGCGGGACCAGCGGGTTCAGTGTCTGTCTGAAGGAAGTATCCCCACCTACAGCACAGTGTCCCCAGTCAGCGGGGAGGAGCGCCACCTGCTGGTCCACCAACACCATTTCAGGCAGCAGTGTGCAGCTCCAAGGTGTTTGCTGGGGGTCTCCCACTGCAGGGCTGACATGGCTCAGCCTTGCTGCGGCCTGGATATGTGAGAGGAGGTGAGGTCATGATACTAGGTGTCAGAGGAGAAGGATTTTAAGTGCTGAATGATGTCCAGAGTCTGGCACCAATATAGGTGCTTTTCTAGAGTTCATAGACTGGCGTCAGACATGAAGCCATACCAGTGTTAATCTATTTGATGTTCCAGGGTAGGCAGAACCTCTCAAAAAGTCACTAACTCACATATCACCACTGGAACGTACACTATCGACAAATTCTTGACACATAAGAAAGTATCAAATGCTTCTCTCACGTTCAGTCAGAGCTTTTGCCCTTGGGAAAAAAAAAACATGTTTTTTTTTGTTTTCTCAGCAAAGCCTCCCTAAGGTCACATGCAAACCACTTGCAAAACAATAAATTGCAAACATGAAGGCTGGATAAATCTGCCCATTAATCGGAAATCTCTAAGAAACATTTCCTTATCAGTGGCATTGCACAAAGAGCTCTCTCCTTTGGTTCGCTATCGCTCTAATGAAGAGACTCCCAGAGCACAGGGAACAGTTCAACAGTTCATGTGCTGCGCAATCTTCACCTTTGTGAAAAGTACAGATAATGACTTATTTTTAAACGCTCTTGAATGTCCGCAGTAAATGCCCACATTTGATCTTCCTTGCTGGATGAGACACTATTCTCCCAGTCCGTACAGGTTTACCCGCTACTGCTTATAACTGCAGGACAGACCAAAAAGCACTCTGGAGCCTCACAAAAGCTTGTGTTTCCTCTCAGTTTGGCTGTATGGAGGGAAGGCACCCTGCCACCTGACAACCTGAAACGGGCTCTCCCAACCAGCCTGTAACCAAACTTTAAAACCAAGCTGGAGTCAAATCAATTAATACTATACATCCCGGGCTTGTTTTTAAATCCTACTGTAACTAAACCACCTGGCAGTAAGTCCAGAGGAGGTCCAGGGTGTCGTACAGCATGTAGGCCAGACGTTTACTTAAGTGCTCTTGTGCAACTAAAACATATAAAAAAAAAAAATTCTCTACAGAATTTCCTCTAGCAGTTTCAAAACAACAGGCCTACAATCACCCAGGGTGTGGAGCAAGACACATCGGGAAACGAGGCTAGTCTGCTGCAGCACGAGTGCCAGGCTGAACAGGACTAGAAGCTCTGCCTCTCGGGTCTGTTAGATCGGCAGGTCAGCCTCCGTTTAAACCAGAGCAGTGAAGTAGAGACCAAAGGAATGAGCCAGGGTCAACTAGCAACAACTAGCATCTCAAGAAAATAGGGACTGGTATATTGTTTAATGTAGAACTCCGCTGTTTCATAACTATTGGTAATAGGATGATGAAATATTTCCGCACAGAAGCGCTTTTACAAATACCGGCAAGGGTAAAGCCCAGGACAGGTGGGAATTCATCCCGGACTGGAGTCTACCTTTCATTGCAGTTCACTTTTTCCAGAACACAGAAGAACATGCAAACTCCCCCGTCCAAACTCCAACTCAGAACGATAGAGCTGGGAAGCAGCAGTGCTTTCTCTGACCTGTTAAAATCCCAGAGAGACAGACAAACCTCCCTGCACCACCCTCCTGTAGTCTCACTTTGGCTTTGGTGTTTTTCTATCCATAGTTTCCATTTCTGTTTTCCTTTCAATGCTCTTCAACACATTTCATGAGTATGTGCATGTTTATTATTAGCCAGTCTGTTTCCATGTTAACCGATAATAATAGGACAGAACGCAGGAAATGAGATGGAGGTGTGGTAGGGAGGGATCTTCTTCTTGCACATTAGTCCATGAATTAAAGACGCCCACTGATGTCGTACTTGTCAGGGACAGTTTGTACTAGAGAGGCTTAAAAACTTTGCTGGAAACCTTCACAACAAAATGGAAATTTGCACAAGGAAACACATCATGAGACACCAAAAAAGCAGAGTGCACTCCT